AGTAGTCGTATTAGTCGTAGTAGTAGTAGTAGTAGTAGTAGTAGTAGTAGTAGTAGTAGTAGTAGTAGTAGTAGTAGTAGTAGTAGTAGTAGTAGTAGTAGTAGTAGTATTAGTAGTAGGAGGAGGAGGAGGAGGAGGAGGAGGAGGAGGAGGAGGAGGAGGAGGAGGAGGAGGAAGAGGATGCCGCACCATACGGGCGCGAACAACAGGGGAAAACATCGGTCAGCCTCAGGTCGGGGAGCTGAAGTCGAATCGGATCGGCCGCGCCTCGACGCACAACGGCGCCATGCAAGCATCGGGCCACGTCGGATCGTCGGAGCTTCGGAATCGCATCGGAGGGGCCTGGCCAGAATCGATATTGGATCGGATCGAGCGGGTCGGAATGGACCCTGCAGGGTGTGAGGCCAGGGGTGTCGTCTTCCGACGACCGTGGCGACGACTGCGATTGGGACGGCGACGACTGTGGTTCTGGAAGGTCAGAAAGAAGGCTTCAGAATGAAGCTTCGACGCTCATACCAGACATTTTTTTCTGCAGAGTGGAGGCTCCATATCCAAAATGGAGGTTTCTTCGATCCTGTCGGGCGGCGGCGGCGACGGCGACCACGGCGCTGGCGACGGCGAAGGGCCTGGCGTGGGATGGATTGTAATGCTGCGCGCCGTTCCACTTCTTCTTGCCGAGCATCTCCACCAAGCAACCGTCGGTCCTGCGGTCGCAAGGCTGGGGAGGAGGGGTAGGACGAGAAGAGACGGAGAAACCGTAAGGATGAGGAGGTGGGGGAGGCGGGAGGAAGGAGGGTGCTCGCCCAAGTCCTTCTCCTCCTCCTTCTCCTCCTCCTTCGCCTCCTTTGGTTAAAAAAAAAACGTGGCTCTCACCTTAGCGCCGCACACATTGGTATTAAAAGTTTGGAGCGATTTCGAGTATGGAGGGCGGTTACTTTTCAAAGTGTGGCTCTCGTCTTTGCACCGCGCACATTCGTCTCAGAAGCTTACAACCGTTTCAAGGATTCGTATGGTTGAAGCCTGAAAAAAAGTTCTGGTAATATTTCGGGTTGTCAGGACGCCACACTCACATGGATCTACGGCGTTGAAGCGCCAGGAACGGTTTTCTGGCGCGCCTGAGTATTCTCAAACGGCTTCCTTCTAATGGGCCATTTACCGCAATGACATTAAATTCTTGTAGGAACCTATGAAGAGGGAACTTGGATGGTGGGATTGTTGCAACATCGTTGATGCGCATTGCGCATACACTGGTCCCACCTCCTCCTGCCCCTCCAACCCCTCCTTCTTCTCCTGCTCTTCCTCCTCCTCTTCCTCCTCTTCCTTCTCCTCCTCCTCTTCCTCCTCCTCCTCCTCCTCCTCCCCCTCCTCCTCCCCCGTCTGCTACTCTCCTCCTCCCCCGTTTCCTCCTCCTCCTCCTCCTCCTCGTCCTTCTCCTGCTACCCCCTCTTCCTCGTCCTGGGCAGGCCTCCGGGTGGAGTCGGGCTCGGGCGGGGTGCGGGGAGGAGTTCCAGCACCCCACCAGGAGTTGAGCACTGGCGGGCAGACGTGCGCAGCGGCTACACGAGAGGCAGGTGGAGGTAGGAGGGGAGGGAGGGAGATAAGGAAGGTCCTTCTCTTCCTCCTCATCCTCCCCCTCCTTGTCGTCTTCCTCCTCCTCCTCCTCCTCCTCCTCCTCATCCTCCAACTCCTTCCGTGCCCATCCCTCTTCCTCTTACATTCGCCGCCCCAACGGGCCAGACGCGTGCTACTATTTCCGGTAAGAGGTTGGGAATATTATTAGTTCGCGCGCGGGGCCGCTCCTGGGGGTCCACAGACCTAAAGTACCTCGGCAGACTCTCAACATATTCGGTTCAGAGATGGTTCTCGTCCTGGGCGCGGCCTGCAAGGTCCCCAATAGCGCTCCACGAGGTCTGCAAGAAAACCCCGAGAGGACCAGAAACGGCCCCAATAGCGATCCAAGACGTCGAATTCTGTCTCTTCACCGTCCAAAAAGGCTCCAAAACGCCTCAAGAGCGCCCCAAGATGACCCCCAAGAGGGCCGAGATAGGCCATCATCATACATTTTTCGGTGGTTTTCGGAAGACTTTCCATAATCGGTAGGAGGAGGAGTCCAGAGGACTGGCGAGGAGCGCCGAGGAGTGCAACGGATGATGAGGAGGATGAGGATGAGGATGAGGATGAGGAGGAGAAGAAGGATGATGCTGATGATGATGATGACGATGATGATGATGATGATGATGCTGATGATGATGATGATGATGATGATGACGAGGAGGAGGAGGATGATGAGCAGGGAGAGGAGGATGAGGAGTGCCGAGGAGTAGAGAGGAGTCCAGAGGAGTGGAGAAGAGTGCCGAGAAGTGCCTAAGAGTTGAGAGGAGGAGCAGGAGGAGGAGGAGGAGGAGGAGGAGGAGGAGGAGGAGGAGGAGGAGGAGAAGGATGATGACGAGGAGGAGGAGGTGGAGGTGGATGAGGAGGAGGAAGATGAGGAGGCGGAGGAGGAGAAGGAGGTAGAGGAGGCGGAGGAGGAGGAGGAGGAGGCGGAGAAGGAGGAGGAGCATGAGGAAGAGGAAGAGGATGCTGATGCTGCTGATGCTGCTGATGATGAGGAGGAGGATGAGGAGGAGGACAAGGAGAAGGACGAGGAGAAGGATGATGAGGAAGAGGATGAGGAGGAGAAAGCGGAGGGGGAAGAGGAAGAGGAAGACGAGGAAAAGGAGGAGGAGGAGGAGGAAGAGGACGAGGAGGAAGAAGAGGAGGAGGAGGAGCAGGAAGGGGAGGAGGGCAAGTATGAGGAGGATGAGGATGATGAGGAGGAGTGCCGATGAGTGGAGAGGAAGGGGGGCCGAGGAGTGGAGAGGACGATGAGGAGAATGAGGATGAGGATGATGATGAGGAGGAGGAGGAGGAGGAAAGGGAGAAGGAGGAGAAGGAGGAGGAGGAGGAGGAGAAGGAGGAGAGGAGGAGGGATGATGATGATGATGATGATGATGATGATGATGATGATGATGATGATGATGATGAGGAGGAGGAGGAGAGGAGGAGGAGGAGGAGGAGGAGGAGGAGGAGGAGGGGGAGGGGGAGGAGGAATAGAGTAGCGGGATGATGATGGGAAGGAGGATGAGGAGGAGGAGGAGAAGGATAATGAGGAAGAGGAGGAGGAGGAGGAGGAGGAGGGAGGAGGAGGGGGAGGAGGAGGAGGAGGAGAGGAGGAGGAGGAGGAGGAGGAGGTGGTGGAGGAAGAGGAGGGTGATGATGCTGATGATGAGGAGGAGGAGAAGGAGGTGGGGTGGGAGGAGCGCCGAAGAGCGCCGAGGAAGGAGGAGGACCCCAGAGGACTGGCGAGGAGTGCAGAGGATGATGATGAGGAGGAGGAGGAGCAGGAGCAGGAGGAGGAGGAGGGGGAGGAGGAGGAGGAGGAGAAGGAGGAGGATGAGGAGGAGGAGGAGGAGCAGGAGGAGGAGGAGGAATAATAGGAGGAAAAGGAGGAGGAGGAGGAGGAGGAGGAGGCCCCGGCAGCCACCAGACTAGAAGACAGGTGTGATGGCCGCGGGCTGGAGGTATCTCACGCGTGCCCAATCCCAATCTGACAGCGACGACTCCATAGAGATGAAAATCACATGCTCCAACATGAAAGGCCGCCGTCATCAATGAAGGAAGGCGCCTGCTCGTACGCGTCAGCCTCCAGCGTCCATCCTGTCCAATCTCGTAGCCCAGGAGCATCGTCGTCGCCCTCGCCATGTGTTCCACACTATACACCACTAGCTGGTACGGCTGGGTATCATGTCGTCCTGGAGCCGCCAGCATCGTGACCCAGGTGATTGATCGTCGAACATCTGCGGGCCGACAGGGCAACGTTCTACCTTGCCACATTACGTCCACGATACCTTCGTCTGCTCTATCCATGGATACTATCTTGGAAGGGCCGCGCCAGCCTGTGACGTCTTTGTTAGGCGGATCCCTGAAGATGTCCACCTGGTCGCCGGGCCTGAGGTCTCCGAGCTGTGCCGAAAGTCTGGTGCGTGTCCTCGCCGCCAGCAATCGTTCCTGATCATTTCCTTTAACGACATTGGCCAGGGCCAGCTCTCGGACTCGGTGTACGTGACGCGAGAGAGCACCTCCTGACTCGTCATCTGCTTCAGCTCCCACGTCGCCGAACTCCATCAAGATGTTCGGCACCCTCTCGAACAGAGCGGCGTCGGAAGTGTTACCGTGTACGCTGACAAGGGCGTTGAGCGCGAGCAAAGATTCATCTAGTAGTTTTTCCTTCGTGGCACGGCGACCTTCTTCTCGCGATTGCCCTCGGACTCGATTGTACTGACTTCGCAGAAGGTCATTCCGTCCTTCAATGACATGAGCGTGAGCACCCTTCGGCTTGGGACGCAAGTCCACCTTCCAGCGATCTGCCCAGATGTCTCCTTCATCAGAAAACAACTCCCTCTTGATCTGATGTGATGAACTTCGGCGTCCCATATACTCGAAACCAAGTGTGCGTAATAGCGGGCAGCACGTCGCCTGGCTCCTTGAACTTCACAAACATACCATGTGCCCACCGAGTGCACATGTCGATCAGATGTACCACGGTGCCATCATCCAGAAAGAGTAAATCAAACTGTATTCCTTCATTGAATGCCGAAGTGAACGTGAGGCTCGCGATGGGCTTGCTGCCTCGACGCTGCCACTCACGACGCGCAGTGCATGTGTCGACCACGTCCTGCACCATGTTGATCACCTCGACTGGCAGACCGGCTGCTGACAACAGTCTCGCATTCGCTGAGCAGGAGCATGCCACAATCGAATATGCATGCGTCGCAGCGTGCGCTGCACCATTCCACGAACCGCAGATCGCAGTCCCTGTATCGCACGTCCCATGTCCCACTGAGTCCAGTCGGCTCCCGTATCTATTTGAGACATGGCTTCCTGGAAACGGCGACGTCGCAGTACTACCTCTTCCGCACCATCTCGCGCTGGTGCGCCTGCTCCTTCCGCTGGTACAATGGCTCCTGCCGCTGCCGCTTCTCCCGCGGGCGCGGCCGCGCCAGATGAGGACGATGCCGCTGCGCCTCCAGGCGATGCTGCCGCGGCTCCTCGAGACGATGCTGCCGCGGCTCCGCCAGAGGATGCCGCTGCCCCGGAGGGCGCTGCCTCGGGATGAGGAGCGATCTCCTCTTCCTGTCCAGCTCGGGGATGTACTCGATGTCCTGCTTCTGCTGCTCGTGCTGCCAGTGCTCGAGGACCGCGAGCGTGTGCTGCTCCAGGCGATCGTGCACGCCGCATCCTGGGGTCGTCCATGAGTAGCCGACAGTTGGTGCCCATCGTGTGTCTTGGGCCCCATCGGTCTCGACCTGACCTGCAGGCTGGGCAGGGATACTCAGCAGACTCAACCAACGGATGTCGACATTGACCAGGTATGCAGTTGTGAGAAGGATGAGTACTCACTCTGTTGCCTCGACATCAGGGGCATTTTCCCCGAGGTCGTGCTGCAGGCTGAGCTGCCAGCTGTGCCGGAGATGCGGGCTGAGCTGCCGGCTGTGCCGGAGCTGCGGGCTGAGCTGCCGGCTGTGCCAGAGCTGCAGCTGCTTGTGGTGCTGGCGGCGGCAGTGCAGCTGCAGGAGGGACAGGGGCAGGCAGTCCCGGTGGCGGATCAATCGGATATGGGGCCCCTTGTCCACTCAAACGCGGGCGGATACGCCGCCGCTGATGCAGGCGCGCTCTGCCGCAGATCCAGTTCCCGCAGCCATATCAATTCTGAAATGCCATCCGCCAGCGTCCGAGCAAACTGCCG